AATATCATTAGATGAAACGATTATATTTTGAAATTCAGTAAATTCATGATGGGGAACGATTATTAATATATGTTGTTGGTGGGTGAATAATACTAACAAGATTGCTTGTAAGTAGTATGTAGCGAGAAGTGGCATATGCACGACATAAACAATGGTCGAATCTAAGGTCTTCAGGTTTCTTTGTGGACGCTTAACCTATAGGTCACTGAGTCGACATACAATGGATTACATTTCTAACCTCAGTCAATTCATGATTTTGCTTAACTATCTTTCAGTGTCATTAGTGAGTAACTATATAACATGACCTAGAATTACTGTATAACTGATTGCATCATACTCAACAACTGTATCAAATCGGTAAGAGAAGCGTCAAGCCGATTTCTTCATAGTGAGAAACCATAAGAAATCACATTGTAAAGGATTTATTCTTTATTAAAATGACGAATTGTACCATATTATCAATGAACTAAATTTCGGAATATCAACCATATCGATCAGTTGAATCAGTTCATATTACATATTGGACGTGAGATGTAATTAATATGAATTTTGTAACTTATTCGATTTTTTCTGTAGACATTATATTATACATTGTTCAAGATGAATTATAAGCTTCAAATGAACTTCTTAATGAATACTAAATGAAAATATTTCTGTCAACTTATGATTTATGCGTGATTTTTCTAAAACCTATTCAACTAATACACAGTTTCATTGACAATTGAACTGGGCCTAGTCAATAGGTGTAGACCAACTGGTTAGGGTCTGGATGATTAGCACAACCGATGGTAAGAGATTGTATGGTTTAGTTAAGAATCGTTCGCAATGGCCCAGTTTCATTCCCTCACTATTATTCTTTATAACCTGAGGCCAAAATCCCAAACTTTTTAGGCAATTTTTTCTTATGCTTAATTTTCTCTACTATTACTACTACCACTGATTTTGTCACTATTTCTATTACTCTGGGATTAGTTTTGATAATTTTATTTCACTGTGCTTATGTAGTATAGCAACTTGAGCCCATGTCCATATGCGTCAGGTCTTAGGTGAATATCAATGACTGATTGATTAGATAGTTTTCAAAAATTTTGAATCAAAAGAAAAGTATATTTAATAATAGATATTTTTCTTCTATTCCAATAAGTAGAGAAATTGCATACCCGACATTTCGTGACTTGATATAAGCTACTTCTTTAGCGTAGTCGTTTCAGAAAGCAGTTTGAATTGTTATAAGTCATTATTACTTTCCAACCAACACCAAAGTCGGAATTTTCAATACAAATGTCAAGACGGTTCTACTGTATGGGGCGGAAAATCGGTGAACTACGAAAGCTATCATCCAGAAAATACAAGTGTTTATTGACAATTGTCTACGCAAAATACTTGAGATCCGTTGGCCAGACACTATCAGCAACAACCTACTGTGGGAGAGAACAAATCAGATCCCAGAGGAGAAAAAAATCAGATAGAGGCGCTGGAAGTGGATAGGACACATATTGAGGAAAGCACCCAACTGCGTCACAAGGCAAGCCCTCATCTGGAACCCTCAAGGTCAAAGATCACATTACGCCAAGAAATGGAGACAGATGTAAGAATGAACAACAACTGGATAGATCTAGAAAAGAAGGCCCATGACAGAGGGGTTGGAGAATGCTAGTCGGCGGCCTATGCACCATTAGGAGTAACAGGCGTAAGTAAGTAAACCCAGTCATTATTACTTAACAATTAGTAACTTGGGATTTCTAGCACTTTTTATTTAATTAATTAGCTAACATAGATAATTTTTGTTTGAAACCTTTTTCATCACACAGCTACATTAATCGAAGGAATATTTCAAACCAGGGATAGCTGAAAAACAGCTTACGAAGTCAGACATGTCCAACTTTAGAGTCTCACTCCAGAACGAATTAGCTATTCAACACCCTCTATCTCGGAATAAATAATACTGTTATTTAGTGCCGAAAACCAAATAAAATAAGAAGATTCATTGTTCTGCCTGTCAGATTTTTTTATTAATATTTTCCATTAACCATTACATGTTAACCTATCAACAACCGAATACTAACCATTTGATTAATTTATAAAACATAATCGGAGAAGGGTTTTGTGGATGACAAGTTCCTTAATGTCCGTTTACTGAACTAGTCTAAAAGTAATTTTCAGTTATACATGCGTTATTTGTGTAAGGGTTTGTGGTAATTATTGAGTTTTTAATTAACAACATGAACTGATCTAAATCAAACAACCAGGGAAAATTACAAGTCATTGGAGTTATTTTGTTCTAGTATGGAACTCCTCAGCAATCTGCATCCAAGGTCTCACTAGGAATTAATAACGTATAATTTTAATAGTTGAATTCCTGAGTCAATTGAAGCTAGACGAACATGAAAAACCTGGAAGCACTGAATGGTCGTTTCATCCTAGTATAGGACTTCTCAGCAGTACGCATCAACGATCCCGCCTCGCAAGATTTGGAGCCAGGACCTATCAGTCTCGTGAGCAAGCGCTTAACCACTAGATCACTGAGACGACATCCAACGGTGTTAATGTCTGATTTTAACCAATCCAAGAAGTTGTGCCACTGTCCACTAGTGCTTTCAGGTTTTCTATGGTGATCTAGCTTCAAATGACTCATGAACTCAACTATTAAATTATAAAATATACTTATTCAATATAGTTGGATAACATTATAATTTGAGTATACTATGTTTTGAATTGTATCCTCAAAAACAACATTCACATTTACAACCAACAGATTGAAAATAATCTACTTATGTATTAGCAACAACCAACTGTGGGAAAGAACAAACCAGATCCCAGCGGAGGAAGAAATCAGGAAGAAGCGCTGGAAGTGGATAGGACACACATTGAAGAAAGCACCCAACTACATCACAAGGCATGTTCTCGCATGGAATCCTGAAGGCCAAAGGAAAAGCGGAAGGCCAAAGAACACAGTACGCCAGGAAATGGAGATAGACATGAGAAAAATTAACAAGAATTGGGTGGAACTAGAAAAGAAGGTCCAGGACAGAGTTGATTGGAGAATGCTGGTCGGCAGCCTATGCTCCATTGGGAGTAACAGGCGTCAGTAAGCAAGTATTATACTGAAAGAGTTGACTATCTGAATATGATAATAAGAAATGCACATGGAAAAAGAAGTCGAATGAATTGATAAGGTCTTATTATACTTATATGATTTTTACTTAAGTCGAATCAATGAAAAACAAAGTACACTTTATTATATATATATGTATATATACATACATATGATTGTATATATTTTTTATATCACTTTTATGGAGGAACAATAATAATTTGATGAAACCAACCAGATAACGAAACAAATGAATCAATTTTAAAAACAAAAATCCATGTTTTTTGTTTCTTTTAACACGATCAATGAAAAATTATTCCACAGAGAAACAAAAGTTAAGAGAGAGAAAAAAAAACAAAATATTGAACTGTTTGTATAAGAAACAGAATAAATGATGGATTCGTGGAAGAAATGAAATAAGCAACAGTAGTACACTCGATTAACTAATTTAATTCACTTAATTTTGTATACATTAAAAAATAGGACAAGACAAAAGAAACAAAACGATTCCTGAGATAATGACTATTGAAATGTCTTTTGTGCGTATTAGTGTTAATAATTAACTATTGATTCAAATGTATAGGGTTGTAAAGAATAGGTAAACTGAATGAAGATGAAAGATAGAGTTCAGTCCAAGAATATCGATGAAGAAAACAGAATGAAAGTAATGAAGACTTTAGGAATTAATCAAAGGGAAATTTGTAATCACAAACAATATATATATATATACCGTTTATATTTTGAGTTTATTATTGAATACAAATGATGAAAACAATGAATAATTCTGTCTCTGTTTTGCCTTTTCACACAAGTAGTATATGTGTAAACAATTGTTTGTTTTTTTTTCAATAGAAAGAGAAAAAAAAAGCGGATATATCATACCATTCATAGTATGGTAAGATTGTAAAACACACAGAGAACAGTATAGATTGAGTAATGAAAGAAAAATGAATAAGAGTTTAGTGATAATTTGATTAATTACCAAAATGAAAAAAATAATAATAAACAGAAACAATATGTTCCATTTTGTAAATGAAATCACACCATTGCATTTACACAGATTTACGTGCACACACATGAGAGTGGAAATAAACATACACAGACACTAATAGATATTCCTTGAAGGATCATGACGAGAACAAGGATTACAAAAGTAGTAATAATAATATAATCAGTAGTATCAATAGTAACATTGACAATAATTGTAATAGTAGTAATAGTAGTAATTATAATAATAATATCACTGTTATCAGAAATGTAAATATTAATTAAGCAGGTTTGACCAATAATTAGCAATGTCAAACAAACATATAAACAAGCAGGTAACAACTATGCATTTATATATGAATATATATATATACATATATATATATCCATATATGCCTTACTTTATGAATGAGTACAATAGAATACAAAATAAGGTTGGTTTTTTGTTGTACAAAACAAAACAAACGAAAAAAACAGTGATCATTCGTTAATTAATTAATTAATTAATTGATGAAATCGACTATTTCGCTTTCATTAGATATTAATTCAGTCTTAGATTAAGATTACGTAATGAACAATTTTGATGGAATGAATAACTAATAGTAATAATATATATATGTATGATTGAAATTAACTTCAATTGTCCCAATGACTATTTTATTTTTAATATTAAAATTCACAAAAAACCAACAAACAAACAAACAAAAAATAATTCAACAGATGTAATCAGTAAAGAACAAAGAAATTTCAAAAACAAGAGAGGTAAATATTCACGGTTGATAAGTTTTATCAAGGAAATGTGTACAACCATGTCGATATAACTTTCACCTGATTGTACTTATCATAATTAGACTAGTTGGTTGAAATAGTAGAAAAGGAAACTTTAGAAAGAAAAGAAGACAAACTTGCCAACAGCAACAAGAAGAAGAAGAAGAAAGAATCATGCAAAACAGAACATAAAGAAATAGAGAATAACCCAAAAGGAGAACATAAGTAAACAATTAGAATACTTAACATGTTCATACATATGTATATATAATTTTGTAAGTTAATTATATACCTGATAAACTATTATAGTTTGATCAAGATCAAACTGAAAAGGGATATATAGAAACTAACAAATAATTAATTTTAATTAAACAAAACCTGATTAGTATTTATGTTGTAATGAGAGGGTAATAAATAATAAATAAATAATTGATCATTGAAAGCACAATGGAAAACAAACAAACAAAAAAGAACCTGAATTCTTACAGAGCCAAAATAACACTCAATTGTAAATTATATATGTTATGCAAAATGAGGAAATAGTGAACAACAACAAAATAACAATATAATGATATTGTAAATGTCGTACATTCAAACGCATGGATACCAACAACAAGAACAAAAAAAGAGACAAATTAAGACTATAAAGCGTATAAACTTAAATAATTATAAGAATATATGAATTCCCTGAAGAATTGTATTGTAAAAGGTGAAATTATTCAATAACTAATTAATTCATTTCTTTTTAACTAATTCGCACAATAGACATTATCATATTGATAAAGATTGGAGGAAAAACATAAGTTAATTGATGAAGGTGGTATATGAAAACATTGAATAGAAGAAGAAGAAGAAGAAAAGTTTGAAATAGAAATAATAATAATAATAAGACAAACAAATACCTGAGTTGAATATTGAATAACCCTGAGAAGATGAGAATAGCATATATATGTATATGCATATACTCTTAATATCCTGATGGTATTGTTTCTTTTATCCAGAGTAATACAAAAGTGATAATAATAATAATAATATAGCTACATAAAATATTTGTAGAACATTCAATGAAACGTTATAAGCCCTGAGATAAGTTAAATACAAATGTCATAAATGAAATAATAAGTAATAATGTTACATTCAAAGAGTTGAATAGACAGTTCAAGACTACTTAACATAATACAATATTGTTCCACATCTTGATATACTTGTTTTTTTTAAACTCTAAATAATTTCGCTGATAATATTAGCAGTAATAGGAAGAGTTGGTTAGGTGGAAAGGAACAGAGGGAGGGGCGGAGAGATTGAGGGATTTAGAACGATAACCATGAGAATAATGATGACAATGATATTTTCAAAAAAAGAAAATGTGAAAACTTTTAACAAAAAGTTAAAAGACATAATTAATCTCTAGTGTCCCTGAGATGAATATTTGTAATTAAAAAAAGGAAAATACAGTGAACCACAACAAATTAATCCCTGTGACATGTAAACACATGTATGTATCCATACATCATAAGTATGTATGTAGTTGAATGTAATTTTGTATAATTGATGAACATGTAAGTCATTGACTGCATTACATTTGTGTATGTGTGTGTGTTTTTGTTGGTTTTCTAATATGTAATGCTTAGAAATAAAATTGTTGGTTTCTTTTAGAGAATTCCCTGAGAATTAGAAGAAGAATTCAATTTGCAAGGATAAGGATTGAATACAAATATGTTGATTATAAAATAAAGTCTTAAGAATTGTTTTATTTCTTTCTGTATGTTAATCAATGATAAGAATTTGGATAGTCATTATTGACAAGTTTTATTTTACATATAATTCCGGAGAGAAATTTCCTACAAATTGAAATAAACGAAAGAAGATACAATAATTGCGAGCTTTTGAATTATGATAAAAGATTGTTTCATTGAATAAAATGAAATTTTTACGGATTTTTGTCTTTAAAATACTAAAGCTGTTACAAATCGGAAACCACTAACAACATAGTGGATCCTTGAATGTATACAATTTAGAAAGTAGAATACCCATTTTCATACCCAATTTCATTTATTCTAACTTCTGATGATTCGCAACATTATATGACTACCATTAGCAAATACTAAGTTCGCCTGGGGCTCCTCTGAGGCCACTGCCGGTCCCAAGCCCGGACAAAGCAGGAGGGTTGGGTATAGGGTTAGCAATCCCACCCCGTAGAAAACTAACTCGCTAAAAAAACGCTCAACGAACATTATTTCTCATTTCTTAGTATCAAATATAATAACACTAATTTACTGTACCCAGCATAAGGTTTTCGAATATAATTCATAAAAAGTCATGAAACCGTACCACGAAAAGTTTCCGAATAGTAGAAATTGTAAGGTCACCTAGAAGACAGTATTTTACTATTTCCAAATAGAATTATACCGTCTGTGTGTTTATTCTAAGTCAATTTACGAAATCATTCTCTCTAAAAGGAATTTTATGACATAGCTCGATAAAAGTAAAACCATATTTAAGTAGTATATCCACTACTAACAAAACTCTAAAAGTAATGAAATCTAGAGAACAATTACTAGAAAAAAAATAAATCAAAGAAGTGAGATTTATTTTAAACTTTTTATTCAAGCATTAAACCTCTTTGAAATTCATTTAATTTCAAAGTAACCACAAGAAGTATAAAACTAGACTATGCAAAACCTTAATAATGCTATGATAATAATACGGTATTGACAACGTATGAAGTTCTACGTTGCTGCTGACTGACTGATAATCTCTTATTTTTCTTGAGCTACTGATTAATTATATGATTTGACACTAAATATACCTTTCCCTTTTTGTTAATATCGACAATGTACATATATACATGGATTTAAACAAAACAGAATCATACACATGGTAGAAATAATAATGAGAACGACTGAACATCGAGAATATAGAGGAAAGGTAGGTATGAAGAAATAGTGGGATTCAAGATCAAGAGGAAGATAAAGAGTGAACGATCCTGAAACATGTCAACCGAAGTCTTCAACTACTGACTGAGGTTATCCCACAGACCATAACCAGGTGATCTCCATCTACTAATATACTTCAGACTAACAGTTAATGACTTCATGGACTGACAAGAAGTGAAAAAGACGTAAAGCGAAATGATTCGAAATAATTAATACATTATCGACAACTCTTAGAAAAGAAAGTGAACAAAAAGAACACAATTTAGGACGAAAAAATAAAATCAAGAAACAGAAAGCGTGGAATAATAAAAATGCTTAAGATTAAGAGGAATATGTAGAATGAATTTATTTACGTCACTATCATCGGTCCTGAGTTATATTACTTAATAACCCCAAAACAACTTATTGAAATGATCAATAAGGAGGTCCACATCTCATGATATGGTTCAAGAAAACAGTTAGAGACTATGTTGTTTTGTTCCCCTCCCGACTTCATCTAGCTTACTAATACATCGACCAGTATTTTACGCTGAAATAACTGATAGCTATAAAATGTGTTATTCAGTAAATAAAGTTACATAAACTCATCGGTCGATTTAAATTTTTACATGATATCTTATGCTTAACCTCTGTATAACTTATTCAGTGGTTCTTCTATAAGCTATAAATGTTTTAAATGCATATATACACCGAATACACTGTATTTATCATATAAGTGAAAAGTAGATTATTTAAGCTGTATAACTCACGAATTATAATAATTCACCAGATATCTATGTATCTTGTTGTTCACATGATAAAGTTTCATTCATAGGTGATAATGCATTTAAATTATGCTTAGTGTCAGGAGTATTATTCATTAGATCTGATTGTGAGATTGGTGAGGTATGATATTGTTGATGATGTGATTGCTGTTGGATTTCTGGTGTCCCACCATTTGAACTGATTGCATGATCACTTAGACCATTATTACCATTATTATTATTATTACTGTCAGTATTCATATTTGTCCATAAAGGCGGCAAACTTTCATTTGTACTACTAGGATGAATTATATTATTATTGTAAGATGTAGGAGTATTAGAACGTGAACTATTGTTTTTAACCGAAATTACCGATTTATTTAAATTCATATGATCATTTTGATTTTGTGTCGATATCATTCCTGTTGATTGTACTGATGAGGTGACTTGACGTTGAGGTGAGGTTATTGCTGAAGAACAAGAGTATTGAGATGATTGTAAAACAGATACTTGACTTCGTTGGTGTTGTTGTTGAGGTGATGGCACCAAGTAGTTTGTTGAAAGCATTTGTGTAGAAGAAGGAGAACAATCTCTGGAATTTGAATATGTATTCGAATTGGATGGATTATAGGTTATTGAATTATCATGATAATTAAATTGTCCAGAAAATGCATGTGATTGATTATTTAAAGGTGAATCAGAATTTGATGATGTTAAATTTGTAGTTGACGAATAAGATCCTCTCATATGAGATGAATCTGGAATTAAATGTGATTGTTGATGAATTTGATGTTGTGAGTTTTGTTTTTGAGTAACATCGTGTATTTGACCATCAGAAGAACAATGATCAATATTACCAGTTTGAATTCTATTTCCATTGTTATTATTGCAGTAAACCATATTTCCGTTAATTGAACAAGATGGTATCATATTGGAAATATCCGATCTATTAATAGATTGATTTGGATAATGATGATGAACAGCTTGTGGAATAGATGCTGTTGAAGAACCATAATTTAATGGTGTTGTATTTGTGACATCACCATATGGAATAGCTTGTGGGCAAACAGACGAAATATTTGGGCATATAGGATATGAATTACCTGTATGTTGAGAAGGATTAGGAAGAGGTGTTGATGCACCATGATTAGATATAGGTACAGTAGAAGTATCTTCATGTGGAATATCATATGTTTCAGCATATAATGGTGCTAATCGTGTACGATACCAATTTTCTCTATACCATCGAATACATAATTGTACTTCATCCCCAACTGTGGTCGCTTGATTAATCACATTTCGTACTTGCCCAATTAAGGTAGACTCTCTTGGTCTATTACGTTCTAATTGCATACGAAGAGCAGCTAAATGATGATCTTGCATAATGGCTACTTTATTCGGTTCAATCAAACCATAACGATCTAATAGATTTTTTAAAAAGAATATAGTTAGACAAATCCTACGTCTTAGGTGTTCATCACAAGTAAACAAATTGAAATAAATTATAAATTAGGATAGAAACAATTACGAAATCATAAGATAGTAACAGTTTATAAAAGATGTTATCACAGAACTATGGGTGATCACAGATTTGATATAATTCAATAACAAAATAATAATCATATCCTAATGTACTTTCTTGAATCTAGTTTCCATAATACCTACTATAAGTCAAATGAAAAGCTTGAAACTGACCAAAAGAGTAAAATATGACAAGAACTTGAGCCGAAATTGACATTAGTGATGTTGGTCGATACCCACCGAGTTATATCTCACTGTTATAGAAAATCACACTTCACCCAGCAGGTTGGAATTTCGGACCCTATTTTTAGTAAAGTCTAAGATGGTCATGTAATAACATTAGTTTTTTTCATACTGATCTCTTAAAACTCACCAGAAGTCAAGAAATGTACAATACACGTTTATTTAATTGATACCTTAGGTAAATTCTTGAAAATTATTTATCATTTTCATAGACTGACAAAACATGACTGTCTTATCCTTACTTCAAGGTTAAACATATGAATAACTTGTGGTTTCTATACGTAAACCAGCTTGAGTCAAATTACCTCTTCCTATTTGTTCAAGGATCAAGATTTAGTAAATTGGTGGATATATCAAAGTTGGTTTCGAACATGCAAATATTCTTTCTAATAAATATCTTAATTTATACTATATCACATGTCTTGTTCATGTTGTCTGGTCTCCTAGTATTTCTTTACATCTCTATCAGCTTTCATAATTACCACACATTGTGAAAATGTCTAATGGAAAATGTCATCAAATATGTGTAACTGTACACAAGTTGAGGAGTAAAGTTATATAATTTCTAATTACAAAATACGTGAATAACTTTAGCTTAACTAGGAAGAACTGTCGAAATCTGTCATCAAGATAAATACAATTTATGATATAGTGCATAATTGGGAGTTATAGTGAGAGGTTGTGATTAATGGAGTTTAACCATATCCAGTGTGAGAAAAGTATCAACCTCAGGCAGTGGGAAATGATCGCTCAGTGTTGTGGATTGATTAAAGCTAGACATGTACAATACTGAATGCCAACTCAGTAGTCTGAAGGTTAGGCGCTTATAGTGAGGAAAAAGGTCCTAGATTTGTTCTCCAGTGCAGTCATGAATCTGTACTGATGAGGAGTCCAACAGATCTTCAGTGCTTCCCAATTTTAAATTTTTGTCTATCTATGATCAATCACCGATGGTGGTCTAATTAAGAATGTAACAAATAACGAATACATTATTTACCAAACAACATAATTTTTCTTCTGATTCTACAAATTATTCAGATTATTATTACTATTACATTGTTGTTCTTTTTTCACAATTAAAACATTTCTAACAACTTACTTGGTTTAGTGATGACAGCAGCACAACAAAGAGCAACTTCAGTGTCATTCAGCACTAATGAATTGAAATTTTCGGAGAACGAGAAAATTGAACACACAACACTCGGCTGATAAGGAAAAGAATTTAGTAAAACAAAAAAGGGATATTTTATTGTATATTTTTCTAAAGAGAGAATGATATACTACATATATAAATTAAGGGAAATTACTCTAATAGTGCCCTGTCGATAGGCAATTTCAAAGATAGTACATGTCACCTCAAAGAAAAATCAAATTCCTACTACTGTTATTGAAAGATATTCACTGTACTGGTCAGTTAATTGATTTTGAAAGAAATTTAACAAATACGTCACGATTCAATATCTCATCAACAAATATTTTATCCAGCATATTCATTGATGACATCCAATTTGACAAAGAAACTTGGTGGTCTGAAATAAACGCACTTACAACATGATCTAAAAGTTCTAGATTGGATCCCTGATATGGTATGGATGAGAATTTTTGGTGAATCCTGTACGAGGGCAAAATAATTATCCTGTGTTTTTTTTATTTTCACATAGATTTCAAATGATCCCAATCCATGACAAACACTACTTATCAATCTCCATAAGTTCCCTCAAACAAATGAAATCTTAACCAAAAACAGATAGAAATTGAATATTAACCAACTCCAATTACACCAAATTATTTAATTATTGTAAATTATCGGCTTCTACTCAATGAAATATACATGTATAATTAGTGACAATTTGTATAACCTTTAAAAAGTTGATCATTTATCGTTTATATCATTTATCAATTATCAAATAAGAATAGTGTACTAGGATAGTTAAGTTTTAATAATATATGTAAGAAATAAGAAATTCTAGACAGATACATGACAAATAAAGCATGAATTGTATTAAAAGATTACATTATTATAACTATAATTATGGCGCCCATTTCACTTATCATATACATACTTACAAACAATAACAAACGGATGCAAAAACATAAACGGGTACACAAATACTAACAACAACAACAAACTTGTGAAAAGATATCTGAACAGAAATACACATACAAATATAGACAAAATATACATTACTAGTGTACATTGATTTTCTATTTGTACGTGCAATAAATTTGAAAGTTTAGTACCTGAATTATTTATTATAAACGAGCACTAGTGTATTTCGATACAGATAGTCATTATTGTTATTATTATTATTATTATCAACATGGTGATGACATGAATACATATTTGTCATAACGACTATTGTATCAATTATCTGTGTGTGAAGATGCGTATATATATATATATATATATATATATATATATATATATATAAATATAAATTAAGTCTTGTACAGATGAAAGCAACAATAATCAACCACATTCATCTAGAATGTACAAATATACATGTATACACAATTAATAAGGGAAATTTTTCGGATGAAAATAGCCGGAAGTTGTAATATATATATATATATATATATATATATATACCCTGAGAAGTATTAGTAATGACACTAATGACTTTGGCAATAATATGAACTGTGACTTTATAATAGATAGTTCGATTAATGAAAATGTGTAAATATGATTATTAAAAATTGATTAAAATATTTCTGGTATAAATAAAATACATTGAATAGAAAATGAAATAAAGTAGCAAACATTTAGTCAATTGAACAGTTGAATATGGTATCATTGTTGATCAGAAATTCGATCAGATTTCTGATTGAAATTATTGTGTCACTGTTTGATTTGTGTGCTTTTACGTTCATTCCAATTGATAAATATGGTTGAGCATATACATTTATATTACTAATTAAATAGTAAACAGTTTATTAAATAAACATAAATTATGTGTACCCAGTCTGTTTTGCAGAAATATCTTGTCAAAATTATGCTATTGTCGAAGAAAAGTATTAAAAAACTTCTTTCTGATTAATGTTATGAAGTAATGGACTGCTTGAAAGAACTTAATGCCAAGTCGTTTGGTCTCAGTGCTTGCCTTATCAAGTCCTATTGATGAAATCGCTATATATTTACTGATTCAAAATGACTTGGCTTGGTGTTTAGATAAAATCAACAAAAAGTTCTATATCAAACTATTGTGTTGATCAGGATTTCTAACCAGATATACATTTTGGCAAATCCAAAAAATACAAAAAGTATGGTACAACTACATAGAATCGTTACTAAAGGTATCTAATATCATTTCTATTTGGTTTCATGAACAACGATTTAAGAACGATTTCATTATTAACCTCCCCTCTTTAGAAACTGATATAGACCACTGGAAATGTGAGATTTTTTGAATTACCAAGCAATTAAGGATAGTTTGAATCCTTATCAATGCAGTGTTGTAGTCTGGAAACCAGACATAAGGTAAATTGTATCAATCATCACGGTCATAAATAAAAATTTAATTCTGAACCTAACATTCGTAATTCATTTATAATACGGTTTTCCAGTTTCGTTCAGTGTAACAAATTAAACTGTCCATTTAAATAACAATAGGATAATACTAACGCAATTTCAACAAAACATCGATAAGATAACTACTTATAAAGTCTTTCATGTATAATTACTGTTTCATTGTTGCATTTTTTTAATTATTTGTAATATCTCATGAAAATCACGATAAATGTATTCCAGTTACGACTTTATTTTACGCAGTTACCCCAAATCAATTAGATATGAAGAAAAGCATGCTATCCATGTGACTATTAATGTGATTGCAAATAAATCCTATAAATACAATGGAATTTAGTAAGAGCATTACTAGCTGGCTGATAATTTTTGACTTAGTTGAGCAGATTAACATCAACATGGTGTGCCTCTACAAAAATATGTGGTACAGCAAGTTTGATATTATAGTGAAATATCAACAAACATATCATAGATAATTGTAACTTAGTCATTAGGTACAACTTGTACAGTTGGTTTTAAACAAAATTTCTATATGTGGGAATTAAATAGTACAACTCAATTAACCAAAATGAAATTGGGGCGGAGGGGGGGTGTGTTTCAAATCTAGAACTGAATGACTCAGTCAGTCAGTCAACTACAATGTAGGATCAGGCACATATATGCATCGGTCCACGTTGACATACCTCATTAGCACAACAAGATCAACATCGGATTCATAGAAGTAGTTAATTTAGTGGTGGTAATATATGAAAGAAAGGTTATGTGTAAGAATATAGTACAGAAATAAAGAAAGATATAGAGCTATTTTAATCTCATAATTTAAAGGAAGATAGAGAGTGCATACACCTACGCCATTGTGATCGATTATGAGCCATGTCACACAGTCTCCAACCACTGGTTACGATAGTTACGCGGACCCCAACCAAGTAGTCTACATCTATCTACACGGCTCAGACTAGACGTCAGTCACTTCAAGCACTGATGCCACGTTTGGTTTGGCTGCCCGTAACTTTCTTACAACCATCCCCAACACTAATCAGCATTGTGTGTCATGGTAATCGGTGTTCGGGCATACGCAACACGTGGCCCAACCATCTCAGTCGATGAAGATTCACAACCTCATCAACTGATTTACCATCATTCCCTAATACCCTGCCTCTAACCTCACTATTACTTACCCGGTGATCCCAGCAGACGCCAGCAACATTTCTAAGCCATCTGTGATCAAATACTAGTAGCTTAGGAGTATCTCCTACTCTTAATGGTCACGTTTTGCAGTCGTTAAGTAGAACAGAACGAACTGCTGCGCATTACACTCGTCCTTTTATTGATAGACGTATATCTCGCCTTCGCCAAAGATGATATAAATTGGCAAAAGCCAAACGAGCTTTTCGAATCCGTGCAGAGATTTCGTCAGACACCAACCCATTAGGGCTGATCAGACTTCCATGAATGACTAAAAGTCAAATGACGATTAGTTCGAATCCTGTTACAATTTTAAACAACAAACAATGTACAACGTATATACATACACACAATAATATTTGTTAATGTTATGAATAAATAAGATTTATACTTTTCAATGAACATCCGATTTTTCACATTATTATTGTCATTTGTATTATTATTATTATTATTCAAGATTAAATTATTAAATTTTGACTCGCAAGTTATTTCAGTACTACACTTATTATTATTACTATTATTATTATTGCCATTATTATATAGCTATATCACTATAAACAAAACTATTTATGATATTGTATACAAACATCTACCTTCAATCACATCATTTCAATAAAGTTTATTTATTTGCTTAATTAGTCAGTAATCAGTTGATTATTACTATTATTATTATTACTATTACTATTATTATTATTACTGTTATTATTACTATTATTATTATTATGTTTATTATTGAATATATCAAAATGTTTTTATAGTGTAATTTACTAAACTAATTAGAATAAAAATAAACGTTAAAATGTAATGTTCACGCATCATATATATGTATGTTATAGAGAAAAATGTTTGTACGAAAGAACAGTTCATTGTTATTATGTATTTTTTTCTAATGTTTCAATAAAGGTCTACTAGCTGACAAAACATGATTTCTCTATTAAAAATTTATGATTGAATTTCCAATTGAAATTAATACTTCATACTCATCTTTTTTATAGTATCATACTGTTAATCCAGCTACTGGATTGTAATAGCTACATTCTGTGAAGATGTTAATAACTGATAGGTATTTTAAGTTGTCATCGATAATCGTTAGGTATATTGTAAGTAAACGTAATGCCAAAATAATACAATTTAACCAAGTTGTACTAGGCCTCTTACACTCTAATAACTCATGACATAGCCGTCAACTGTTGAGAATACAAAAGAAAATATAGGATTTATTCCCGCCCCTCCCCTCATACCGATTGACGATCATATAGAGGGGGGTAGTGTATCGGTATTAATACACTTACTGATGTAGTCATGGGAAACAGCCATTTAAAATGTGAATACTCATCACGTATAAAAATTGGAAATACCAATTATAAGCGAAATCCTTTTTAAGAAGATTTGAGGAAATATTGCATTTCCTCACAATTTATCACATTTAATTAATTGATATATAGTGACATGTGAAGTAGCATCAACACTATAAATAAAATCTGGTCCAGGAATATATATTTTAGATGTTAAGCAAATTTCCATTTAACTTCATAAAGCGCGGTTTAAACCTGAGACAAAGTGGCTGAAAGTTGATTCATCGCTCCATAACTAGTACTACCAAACCGAGGGAATTAAAATAGATCTACTGGGATGACAAAACTTATGATCAAATGGTTGAAAATCAAATGCTTAAGTTATTATGCTCGTGTCCCATCTAAGGATTATTTATTGTATAGCGATAAGTGACAGGATTACAATTACAGCCGGAAAAACAAAACAGATTTTATGAATTTCGAAACCCAGAGAAGTCAATAATTTAACGGAATAGTTTTGCAACATCTTTCGACTACGTAAAAATAAATTTTCCTCATATCTTTATACAAACAATGAGTCTATTTCGTAGCTCAATTAGCTCAGTGATAAAGTATCAGATTGTGAAACTACATGACACTTGTCTGAATCCCACAGAAAGTATTAGTTCCATAAAGGTACCAGATATGGCTTCATAACGTGTCTCAACTGCCACAAAATTTAGGTTCATGCTTCCCTATCACTAGCTCCAACCATCACCTTTTATCTCAAGACATATACACGATGTCAAGTCATTCAGATTAGTGCCTGGATTGGCTTAAGTAATTCGATCACCATTAAAGGGCTAGAAAAACAGGATATTCGTCACTACTTAGTGATCAGTCTATTGCATTTATTCTTTTGACCATATCAAATGATGTCATACGTTATCAGAATTCCTTTATCAACATCAGTAAAGGGTTGTGGAGATTATTAAGTTCTTTTTATTGAGATCATGAATCGATTGGTGTTAGACCACCATGGAAAACCTCAAAGCACTGGACGGCCGTTTCGTCCTAGTGTGGGACTCCTCAGAAGAGCACATCCACGATCCCGCTCGTGGGACTCGAACCCAGGGCCTTAAGTCTCGCTCACGAACACCTAACCTCTAGACAACTGAGCCGTCATCTAACCATGTTAATGTCTAACCTCAATCAATTCACGAAATTGCGCGACCATCTTCCATTGTACTGAGGGAGATACCTGTCTCTACCGACACTGATTAGCTCCACTGGCCACGGCTTCTTACTAGAACTCCGAGAATTCCCTCACGAAGCTAGCAACTAGTGAGCACATTGTCATTATCCAAACGAAACGCCCGTTCAGTGCTTCCAGGTTTTCAATCGTGGTCTAAAATCAATCGATTCATTATCTCAATGAAAAAAATTACTTTATCAAGTTATCACTTAAAATAATTTATTTTTAATGTTAATATACAAGTGTGTTGTCTTAAAAAGTATTTCTGCCCATACTGAGTTTATAAATGGTATTATTTATTAAACCCATGTCAAATTATTACAATTTCTCATTCACACACACACACAACAGAATAGTATGGAAAAAAACTTGTTTTATTAACAATTTTCACTGTGAAATACATCACAGAACATAGATTCATAGTCATAGGATAGTAATCACAATGAAGATCGTTTTATGGGGAACTTAATCGAAAAATTCAATGCACATTTCATGTGAAAATCAAATCTAATTATAATTATGAAAAATCAACTGAAAAAAATTAACGTTAATAGTAAACAGTGTGGGATCGTGGATGTGCCACTGTTGAGGAGTTTCATACTAAAATGAAACAATTGTACAATGTTTCCAAGTGTTTATTAAATGGTACGCTAGTTTAAATTTACTAGTGAAAGAAGAAAAAAATGACAAGACAAAATAAAAATTTATAAAAAAACACACTTACTGAATATATAAAATCTAATTCTTGTTTAGTAATTTGTTTACCATCAGCCAATGTTATTTTACGATCATGTGTTGATATTAAACGTGATGCTTGAACAAGCCATACTTCAAAAAATGCCGCTTTAATTAATACTAATTGATCTGGTTGACCAAGTGAACTAAATTCAGGGATACGTTTAGCAAATTCTACAACTTGTTGTATACATGGTGCTAATAATTGACTTAATTCTTCATGCATACGTAATCGATGCTCATCCACTTTTTCAGGCCAAAATTCACGTGTTACATTCGACTGTGCAAATAAATAAATAAATAAATAAACAAATAAATAAATAAATGAAATCAATCAAATAAAGAGATAAATAGATAAATATAGAAAGAATTAAATGACAATAATCAATAATTAAAAAGAAATTATTATAACAGAACTTTATACATTACCATTAATCTATCTGATTATGACAAGAATATTGACTATTAATGGTAATAATATATATATATATATATGATTTATATTATTGATAATCGGCTATTAAAATTTCGTTTTGATCAATAGACAAGTTAATATAACTATTGAGTAAGTAGTTCTAGTTTGTAGTCAATAGTGATTTCTTTTTATGTTTGTATAATTAAGATAGAATAAAATAAGAGTGAATTGTAGATTGGATTTCTAAAACAAAAAAGGACTCAACAAGGAGGTTTAGAATGATCAGTTATAAGTAAAATAGACCATTGGACATGTTCAAGTTACTCTACTATATCAACTATCAATATGGATTAATTCATTTGTCAATGACTTCATGGATTGATACTGCTCTTGGTACGGCCGAGGGTGGGGAGAGTCAGCTCTCCTCCTCTAAATGCTGTCACATAGCCACGCGTATACAGCCACTGCCATGGAAGTTCCACTCACTGCCTTCTTGCGGCATTACTGTTGTTTACGAAATTGAAAGGACAGAAATCGAATGCCCGGCACTTAAACCGGGTTTGTGGATATGGAGAATCCCTGATTCGGTCTCCAGGGTCCTGAATGAACAAATGGCGTATGAATCAATCGCTAGTCACCGGCTACCATGGGAATTCATCTCCATTGCCTTTTGGATCGGACCTTTAGGTCGAAGACTCCGAGTGTGGCCCCCTAAGTAAACCACCTACTTCGGTTTGGGCACTCGGGCAGTATCACAGCCCACACACAAATCAAGGGGCTTGTGTGGCGCATATGTGTTCGGTACCCATTTGTACCAATGTTTATGTGTTCAAATAAATAAAAATAAATGAATTGATGCTATTTATTGCTTCCACTTCCTAGATTTCTCCTAAATTATTGTTACATTATTTAGATGTTGAAAGAATTATGTTTTTTAGTGTTTCAGTGTCCATATTTTTGATATCATAGACTCTATTTGCTCTGTTAATGTTGGGATACGTTTATTCTAAGAGGATAAAAATTGGATTTTATATTGTAGCAGAAATTAGAAAGCGCGTTTCAAATCATTTGGGATTCATCATCTGGATACAGCTTCATTGCCCTATTGACATTCATGTTGAGATTCCGACACAGTAAATATCGCTTCGAATCTCAAAACTTAAACAATTGTTTATTCATGTCAAATGAAAGTTTACGATAGAAATTTGTCAATAATAATGAAATATGTCACATCGCAATTCGGTAACTCTTACAATTATAAATGACATATTAGGATGTAAAGCTATGAGATTTTTAAAAATCAAATGAATCTATTCACTAAATTAATAAACAAACCATACATATAAAAAAGTGACTTTAAGGAAGAAGTAGCCACCGTTTGGTTAAGTACGTTTATATAACGATAAACACTAAGAGCTATTAGTGTTGTATGAGTTATGTAGACCATAGAATTATTCACAATAAACGTTATATACGTCATAGCATATAAGGCCCGTAACATATAATCTCTTAGTCTATATCCTCAGACAAAGTAGATCGTTGGCTCACTGGTTACGATGTTCCACTTTCAGCCATCAAGTCGCAGGTTTGAAGCCCAATCTATCTACTTCGGTTAGACTAATTGAACAGTATCATTAGCATTTAAACTTGCAGTTTAGCTGCTCAAAGTCAAGTGAACAAATATGTACCTCGTAAATGTGTTCATTGTTAGACGGAAAATAAAACGTATCATCATTCATATCATTGTTACCCAAGGTAGTGAATATTTTTAAAAAATGACAAAACACAAAACATCCATTATTTCATCAGTTTATATAAAATTTTAAAAGTTGAATTCATGAGTCTATCTAAGTCAGGAAACCATTGAAAACCTGGGAGCACTGAACGGCCATTTCATTCTAGTAAGGGACCGAAAATCTTGAGTCCCGTGTGTGGGATTATAGATGCTCAATGGTGAAGAGTCCTGTACTTGGACAAAACGGCCATCTAGTGCTCTGAGGTTTTCAATGGTGATCTAGCTTAGATCAATTTATGAATTTAACTATTAAAATTACTATAATCTCTATAAATCTCCATTCTTATATAAAATTATAATTATACAATATAATGATCATTGTATGAGAATATTTACACAATCCAAATTTGATAAAGATTAGGAATGGATCAAATTTGATCACAATTATCATTTGTTTTTATCTTCTCTTAATTTATTCACAGAATCTAGAAATTTCTATACATGACAAAATTAATGTTAATAGTTGAGTGAAGCATATAATTAACTGTAAATCCTTGTAATATCATCAGTTTAAGTTTTATTAATGTAATTAAGTTGTATTGATCATTCCAGGTCAAATTTGATGATAGAGTTAACATGAATCGTACAAATTAAAATCATTTCATTATGCATATTATCCTAAGTTAATGAATTAGTCACACTCTTATCTGCTGTTTTTTCCCTCTCTAATCAGAATAGGTTGTATGTAAGCGGACTTTTACAATGGACTCAGTATCACTTTTTTTGACTATCTGTCAACTGTCATAAGTAAATACAGTTAATATATACGTATATACTACTTATTTATATCATTATTACTAAGTGTTTGAAATTAGCCCGCTACTGGAATTCAAGATTGAATTTTTATCAATTTTTATCTGTATATATGCACATATGACTTGTACAGATTAGCTCGATATAACCATTCTTTTACAGGCCTTTTTTAAATGAATTGTGGGTAGCAATGGAATTCAAGACACACGTTTTGTCCTATCTAAGACTCTGCAGTTGGATGTACCTGCATTCTAGTGTCAATATTCATACTGTTACTTGAACTCAGTGATCATTATAGGGATTATAGGAACTATTTAATTCAAAGATTATTCTTCATCACTTTGACTGACATAAGTTGAGGAACCATTGAACTTACTAAATAGACAATTTATCATAGTTCTTGGAACTCTTCAAACTGTGAGCAAATATAACCTCCTATTAAAAATCTAACACAAGAATAAAAACATAAAAGTTTGAATTATAAATCTTCTATTAAACTTAAAGGTTTTACGTCCACTTCCAAGTCTATAATATACAAACTAATGACACTCAATAATGTTACCAAGTTGACTATCTAATAAATAATCTGACTAAATATACGATTGACTATGCCAACATTTATATCATTAGTCTATTCTTGCTCGCTTGTTTAACATGTATTAGACAATAATATCGTTATGGAATATTATCATTTTCATGCTTCATTATCAATAAACATCTTGACTAGCCTACAACTAGATGATAACATATTGAGTCTGACATATGAGTGTATGCATTTATTGATGTATATATCCATCTATAAATGTGTATGAATTAACTGTCATTGTTTAGTTATGATGCCCTTTTTGTTGTTGTTGAAAGAAACATCAAAACGCTGATCAGACATCTGTCCTATGAAAATTCATTGAACAAGTGTCATTATGTTTTAAAAAATCTCCAACAAAAAAGAAAGATAAATAAATAAACACATATTGTTCCCTTCGCTTTTAATTTATTATTTTTTTTAGAAAAAAAAGAACATTATTTATTCATAATACTACTAAATAGAAATGATAAACAGTAATAAATTAGAACACGCAAATTGAAAAGGGAATAGATTGTCAACATTTTCTCTTTAATTTTGTTTAAATCAATTGTAAGACTTGATCATTTCTAAACTTAAACAAAAGTTAAACATGCATATTATTATTATTATTACGGAGGTATAGTTGAATGATGAATTATTTTATTAAACACAGATGTATATGAGAGAAATAATAATAATAATAATGGTAATGTGATGAATAATAATAGGAAAGTAAATGAATCAAGATTGGAAGATAACTGGAAGGGATTAAATATAAAGCAAATCAACATTAACTAAGAAGAAAATGTTTTTTTCTTTAGAAAATGGTGGGAAGAATGAGGGGGGATTGTAATAACTAGGAATGAAAAGAACAATGATCACTCTCAACAACTTTGTTATCAATGACATTCTTGAAACAGCTCTGATGGAAGCAGGTGATGGTGATGTAGATCTGTCGTTTGGAGAAAAACCTTTCGATCATGAATATATACGATGATACACATGCGACTTCATCATTAGATAATGAGTCTCTATAAGTATGGCATGTAATTTGTACCTTGTTTCTAATGAATCATAAGTAGTTGGAAAGCTTGTGTGTCTGGTTAGTTGTATGAACACTGATAGTGGCAAGACTAATGAAACAAATCTATTTCGGTAAAATCCAGGGTGGATTATATTAAACTGGGCCAACTTTGATTCCACTATGATGTGTAGTTGGGTGTGAAAGGTTTACAACACGTTTGGTCAGAACATCTCTGCTCTATGTTTACAAAACCTGACCTATTTTCTCCAAACATAGTCCCTTTGCCTCTTTTTCTTTACAGTGTTATCCCTACATTTTGTGTGATATATTCTTTCCTTTTGTCGCCCAATTGTATTAGATTTTATTTGCATTAAACAAAGAAATAATAAGAAACATGACATTAATCCATAAAAAGTCATGACTGCTAGTCATTTATCGGTAGATGTAGGCTTCCTAATCAAGCCTAGTGTAATACTCGTAATCGTTGGTTGAAATGGTGTAAAGCAATTACACTTATTCTCTGTCTTACTTAAAATCTTCTTAACTTTTTATTCTTCTGTCTCATTTGTTTGTTTGTTTGTTTTCCTGAGCTGTATTTCTATCTAGTTTTTTATTGCAGTTTAAATAAACTCATCTTCCTTATTATTCTTTTTATCAGTTTCAGGTGAGAGGCTGTATAACATGAACTCGTACAAATTCGTCCCACATTTTATGTTGACAATGAATGA